AGGTTCCTGGGATAAAATTTAGAGATTCTTGAAAATGAAGCCTAAATGTGACAGATAGGACTCAAGTGTCTTGTTTTACCACCAAACTCTCCCCCAGAGTCCAATCTATCAAGAAAGTTTGTCCTTGGCACATTCATATTCTCTGACCCCCTTTTTTCATCCCGCTGACTCGGGCAGGACAGGCTTTGGGGTGTCTGCCCCATCTACAGTCCTCTTCTATTTTTTGCTCCCGCATTGGCCAGCCATTTTGGAGCCATGATCACATGACTTGGAGACAGCAACTGATTGGACAAGGGCGTAGCTATAGCTGACAGCTGATTGGTGGACAACCACAGGGCAGCGAAAGAGCAGCTGGGAGCTGAGTGAACCGATGGTAAACGGCTTCTCAGGGCTCCTTCTCTGACGCAGTTGACCTGCCCCTGCTAAAAGGCCCTCCAGTTTCTGCAGTCCTTTCCTGTCTCTGTGAGGCCTGGCTGTAAAAATATTTCTGGTATCCCATTGAGCTTGCCTATTCAATCTGTGTTCTGGCCTCCTTTATTCCAGAGCTGTGCTTATAACGAACACAGCTTATGTGAGAGGCCTGAGGGCGGTTCAGTTTCCTGACATCTAAGATGAACTACCTGTTGTATAACCCCATTTGTGATCACTGCTCTTCAGAGCATAGACTCTGAAGCCAGACTGTCAGGGTTTGAATCCCAGCTCTGCCACTTGTTAGCTGTGACCTTGGGCAAGTGAATTAACCACTCTGTGCCTCAGCCTCCTCATCTGTAAAGGAGGATCAAAATAGTACCTTGCTCATAGGATTGTTGTGGAGATGAGTGACTTGATGCAGATAAAGTACTTGAAACAGTATCTGGATATGTGGACTACCTCCTGAGCACATTTTCCCCTTTGATAGTTAAGTTTGAAAGTAAACATTTCTTTGTAAATGTTAAATGGATATATATTCCCTTATCTCTCTCGTTTTTTAATGTCTGTGGTATCTATTTGGTCTATATTCTCTCTTCTCCCTCACCCCAAATATCCAATGTTGTTTCCCTGTTAAGTCACAGAACTCAGTGACAGTTCTCATGACAAGATCACAGAATTTCTGAGACTGGACAGTCTTCCAGCTGCACACTGGAGTTACATGGCACATCCTACAAACCTTTTAAGCCTAGAGGGATGGTGCGGCAAATATTGCTCTTACCTACTGCCAGACCATGCAGCAATGTCTGGGTAACATTAGAATCACTTCCACCTGCTGTTACTCATTCCTTGCCTGTCTCAAAGATGTGTGAGTGACTTGTGAAAATATGGCCACAGCTGTCTGGATGAGAGTTTGGGGGAACAGATTTGGTCTATTGCTATTTTTTTTAACTGTGCGCCTTAGTTCTCTGAGGTTCCTGGGATAAAATTTAGAGATTCTTGAAAATGAAGCCTAAATGTGACAGATAGGACTCAAGTGTCTTGTTTTACCACCAAACTCTCCCCCAGAGTCCAATCTATCAAGAAAGTTTGTCCTTGGCACATTCATATTCTCTGACCCCCTTTTTTCATCCCGCTGACTCGGGCAGGACAGGCTTTGGGGTGTCTGCCCCATCTACAGTCCTCTTCTATTTTTTGCTCCCGCATTGGCCAGCCATTTTGGAGCCATGATCACATGACTTGGAGACAGCAACTGATTGGACAAGGGCGTAGCTATAGCTGACAGCTGATTGGTGGACAACCACAGGGCAGCGAAAGAGCAGCTGGGAGCTGAGTGAACCGATGGTAAACGGCTTCTCAGGGCTCCTTCTCTGACGCAGTTGACCTGCCCCTGCTAAAAGGCCCTCCAGTTTCTGCAGTCCTTTCCTGTCTCTGTGAGGCCTGGCTGTAAAAATATTTCTGGTATCCCATTGAGCTTGCCTATTCAATCTGTGTTCTGGCCTCCTTTATTCCAGAGCTGTGCTTATAACGAACACAGCTTATGTGAGAGGCCTGAGGGCGGTTCAGTTTCCTGACATCTAAGATGAACTACCTGTTGTATAACCCCATGGGCACTTCTGCTCCCCTGCTCTTGGCCTCTGGTCTTGACCCAAATGCCACACACAGCCCAGCTGGCAACTCTGCCTAGTCCATGGTCACTTGAGATTCAACAGGGAGCCCCATCTTTCAAGCCCAGTAGCCCTCTGTCACTGAATTATAAAGTCTCTCTTCTGCTCGCTTAAAACCCAGCCCTGGCTCAGTCCCCTCACAGCACTGCAGTGGGTCTTGGAAAGTAGCCCAAAAGGAGTCTGTCCCAGAGTGGCAGAAAGATGAAAGAAAAAATCTGAGCAAATGGGTAGAAGGATGACCAAGCAGTCCTGTGCTTGCCTTTAATCTTTTCTTTCACTGAAGTTCAAGGTTGTGTTGTTCCGTAATTCAGTTCCCCCATTTTGTGCTCAGCTTTCCCCATGGGAAACGGGGGCTGCTGGGTACCGCCCATATCCAGGCACTGTCCTGAGTGTTGACTGCACCCTTACCTCACAAGAACTCTGTGTGATTGGCCTACAGTAGCTCCATGTAGAGATGGAGACCTTGAGGCACAGAAAGGTTAAGTAACTTTCCCCTGGGTGCATACATGGGAAGCCACGAAGCTGAGATCTGAACCTGAAGAGCCTTTATCTGCAGCATAACTGGGGGGTGGGGGTGGGGGGTGGGCAAAGCCCTCCTTATCTAGCCACGTGTTTCCCAAGCATGTTGGGGAACCAGCCACAGGGAACGCAGGTCTCCTTAGAGGGAAGAGAGAGGGTGACCCCTTTTCTCAAAATTTCAAAAAAAAAAAAAAAATCTGCTCCTGAACATATTATCTAGTAGCTGATATTCCATCACTTTAAGACCATTTCCCTAATGTGACCCCTTTAGGTTGCTCTCACATTTTCCATAATTCCCAAGGGGATCACCTTTGTGCTTGCTTTGTGGGCTGCTGATCCCTCTCACTCCTCTGAGGTGGGTGACCCTGGACCAATCCCATGATGCAGGTGACTTTCCCTCCAGACTCCCTGCAGCCTCGCTGGGTCACCCACCACCTCCCATTCTTTTTTCTATGGCCACCATCTGCAAACTGAACACTCTGCAGAGATGTACCAGCAGCCTTGACCTCTCAGAGGTGGTCACCAGTTCAGACTACAGGCCGCTTGGCTAAACGTGATTTTTGCGGTAAATAAGCAGTGGTTTTTAGTCTAAGTATGTCCCAGTATTACATAGGATGTACTTATACTCACGTTTTTCCTCATTTATCTGAAGCTCACTTTTAACTGGGCATCTTGTGTTTCTGTTTGCTCAATCTGGCAACCCTCACCTAAAGGGCTTTCTTCTTCCTGAAGTTTTAACCAACTGAGCACTTTATTTCATTTTTCTGACAAGCAGGGTATGAGTGGCTTTCTTTCTGCTGGGAGTGAAGCAGTGGGGGGCTGGGGCATTTCGAGAATTACAAGGATTCCTGGCTGGTGTCTCTTCCACCCTGATCTTCCTTGGCCTCAGAACTGTGGCTGGTCCTTCCCTTGTTCACCCCTCAAGCTCTGCCCTGGCTGAGCTCAGATAGGTGACTTTCTATCCCTCGGGTTTGGGCCCTTGTGTTTGCTTCCATCACGGGTTGCTCGTTGAATTCTCCCAGGTACATCTGCCTCCCAGGTCAGAATGAAGTGAATAAGGAGAAAGGCACTAACCCACCATCTCTGATACTCGGTCTGGTGGCTCCTCAACTCAGGAGTCACAAGTCCTGCCGGCAACGGTCAGCTGGGCCAGGTGATCCTTTTGAAATCAAGGGAACAGCAGGCCTTGAAGAATGGAGGTGTTATCATAAATGAGGGAGGGAGGAGAGAGGACCGTGAGGCTCGCTTGGTAGCCTATTAAGTCCACCAGAAGCACAGGGGTGCCCGGAGCTCCCTGAGCCACCTGACTTCTTGTGTGAGCCATGTCTGTGTGATCACACAGTACCTGCATAGCCAGCACATCCATGCAGCTCAGTTCATCTTTATTGAGCACCTACTTTGTGCCAAGTGCACTGCTGGACTCACAAAGATGAGAAAGATGCAATCCCTGCCTTCAGAGAACCCGTGTCTTCTTGTAGGAGAGACCTATGTGGAGAGGACATCTGGCCCCACAAGGTGTGTGCTATGAGATTGAGATGCCCAGGGCACCTGGGAGCCCTAGACAGCAGGGGGGGCGGCACATACCTGGGCTGTCCTGCCTGCCTCAGGGGGTGGGCTCTCCCCCATCTCACAGGCCCTTGGAAGCAGTCAATTCTAGGCATTTTAAACCACAAGATTGAGTGGAACTACTTTTTTTCAAAGCCCCCAGTTTCAGGAAATAATTTAGCCCAGTTGCCCAGGGGCCTGCTGCCCATGGAAATCCAACAGAGGCAGCTGTTCCGATGCTCATTAGACACAGCACCCACCACCTCCCCAGCCTTCCTTCCTGCACCTGGCCCTCCCTCCTCTTCACCAGCAAATTCGTCTGCCTGGGCTAGTTCAGGGTAATTACCTAGCAATTAAAGGGTCTGATTCCTACATATTGGCTCTACTCGGAGTTGCCAAGAACTTTCAAAGAGGGGCCGGGTGGGAGAGAGAAACATGCTTTTTCATTATTTTACCTACAGGATTCACTTGAAGGAGGAGGGATGTCTGCTTGTTGCCCTAACTAGCTGGTTGGATGAGGACAAATTCCTCATTAATTTTAACTGTGTCAACTGGAGAAGTTGATGAAAGTGAGAGTGACTAATGAGTGGTGTTCCTGGGAACAGACAAAAGAGCACACAGGAAATGGGATGGGGTCCCAGTAAAAAGAGAGCTGCCTTCAGCAGCTCCGCGCGGGGAGCTGGCTCTGGAGGGCCACAGAGCAGGGTCACCATGGCTTCTCCCTGCATCGGTGGGGTCCGGGCCTGCTGGTTAGCAGGCGATTACCATCAAGTGATTAGGACTGTGCCCTGATGACGCCAGAGCAGGAGAGGAAATACCACAGGCTCCTAAGTGGCCTTGGGAGCCTGAGCCACATTGCATATGGCCGCTACAGGTGAGCTGCAAAGCCTTTGGCCTATACTAACTCACTGTCTTCTCGTGGCTCTGTGAAGCAGGCAGGCCTGTGGTGTGTTAAGGAGTAATGCTGTTCAGTTTCTTAGAGCAACTTAGAAGAGCAGCTCCAGGGCTGTCCTCAGATTGCTGCATGGCTTATAGCATGCAGCCCTTCAAAAGGGGCAAGAAGGGGGTGAGGAGGGCGTGTCCACTGGATGGGGGGCCAGTGTCAATGGAAAGGTCCTGCCTCTCATCCAGCCCCTTTGTGGGAAGACCTCCAATCCACCCCAGAATTTTATGGGATCTCTATTTGTGTGTTTTCTGTGCTCAGCCTCTTGTCTGTGGGCCCAGTCCTCCTTGCTCTCAGTCCAGGAGACTCAGTCAGGAGCAGGCATGTGACCCCAGACCACACCATTCAGAAGGGTCTGTGCTCCTGGGCATGTGACTCAGCTGGACCAATTAGAATCAATCTAGGACTTTTCTGGAAATACTGGGAAAGAGAAATACTTTTTTTTTTTAAATAATTGGGGTTGCTAACCTGATTGAGGTTATTGATATTTCTCCAAGCAATCTTGATTCCAGCTGTGCTTCATCCAGCCCAGTGTTTCTCATGATGTACTCTGCATATAAGTTAAATAAGCAGGGTGACAATATACAGCCTTGACATACTCCTTTTCCTGTTTGGAACCAGTCTGTTCCAAATGTTCATGTTCTGTTCCAAATGGTCCATGTCCAGTTCTAACTGTTGCTTCCTGACCTGCATACAGATTTCTCAGGAGGCAGGTCAGGTGGGTCTGGTATTCCCATCTCTTTCAGAATTTTCCACAGTTTATTGTGATCCACACAGTCAACCGCTTGGCATAGTCTATAAAGCAAAGTAGATGTTTTTCAAGAACTCTGTTGCTTTATTGATGATCCAGCAGATGTTGGCAATTTGATCTGTGGTTCTTCTACCTTTTCTAAAACCAGCTTGAACATCTGGAACTTCACAGTTCACATACTGTTGGAGCCTGGCTTGGAGAATTTTGAGCATTACTTTACTAGCGTGTGACATGAGTGCAATTGAGTATTGCATTTGAGCATTCTTTGGCACTGCCTTATGGAATTCTGACAGCATGGTTTTGGGTCCTGGATCAAGCTATGCCTGAATCCCTTGGATTTTTAGTCACTTGAGTGAATGTCATCTTTTTCCTTAATAAGCTTGGGTCTGATTTCTGTGATTTACAACCAAGACTTATGCTTAATAATCTAAAGATATAACTTGGACAAGTTATATTTCTGAGGTTCAATTTCCTCATGGGTAAAAAGGGACAAAAATGCACCATCTATAGTTATTGAAGAGAGCCAGCCATTCGACCAAAGGTGTAATATTTCCTTGGCCACCTTAACCATGTTTCCTGTAGTTTCCTCTTGCAGGATAGGGCTAATGAGACCGTTCAACCTCCTAGTAGTGGTAGTGGTTTGGATACGCTGTAGAATCTTTATTCTTATATAGGAATATTTTCCTCCAAGGGTAACTGAACTGTCAAAAAAAAAGTTTTAATTTTGAGATGATTGTAGATTCCATGCATTGACCAGAAGCAATACAGAGAGATTCCATATCCCTCCCCTTCACCCAGTGTTGGTAACATCTTACCTAACTCTAGTACACTAGCACAGGGAGAAAATTGGCCCTGATACAATGCACCGAACTTGTGCAAGTTTCACCACTTACATGTGCAGATGTGTGTGTGTGTGTGTGTGTACATACCTGTGTGGGTGCTCAGTTGCTCAGTCTTTTGTGACCCCATGGACTATAGCCTGTCAGGCTCCTCTGGCCATGGGATTCTTCAGGCAAGAATCCTGGAGTGGGTTGATATTTCCTCCTCCAGGGGATCTTCCTGACCCAGGGATCAAACCTGAGTCTCCCGCGTTGACAGGCAGATTCTTTACCACTGAGCCATCAGGGAAGCCCCTGAACATTATACAAATGGAATCACATGATATATAAACTTTTGAGACCGGCTCTTTTCACTCAGCATAACTCTGCTGAGATCCATCCAACTCGTTGTGCACATCAATAGTCTCCTCCTTTTTACTGCAAGTCGTATTCCATGGTAGGGACAAGCAACAGTTTTCTTAAACATTCACATACTGGAGGACATCTGGGTTTTTCCCAGTTTTCTTACCCTTAATAAATAAACCTGATATGAACATTTGTGTGCAAGTTTTGTGAACTTGAGTTTTCATTTCTCTGGGATAAATACTCAAGAGTGTAATTACTAGATAGTATGTTAAGTCTATTTTCAGTTTTATAAGAAATTGCCAAATTACTTTCCAGCATGGCTAAATTGTTTTACATTCTGACCAGCAAGGTATAAGGGATCCAATTTCTCTTCCTTCTCACCAGCATTTGGTGTTATTACTATATTTTATTTTAACTATTCTACCGGGTGTATGATGATATCTCATTGTAGTTTTAATTAGCACTTTAGTAATGCTCAAAATCCTTCAAGCTAGGCTTCAACAGTACATGGACTGAGAACTTCCAGATGTACAAGCTGGATTTAGAAAAGCCAGTGTAACCAGAGATCAAGTTGCCAACATCCATTGGATCATAGAAAAAGCAAGGGAACTAAAAAAAAAAATCTACTTCTGCTTTATTGACTATGCCAAAGCCTTTGACTGTGTGGATCGCAATAAACTGTGGAAAATTCTGAAAGAGATGGGAATACCAGACCCACATGACCTTCCTCCTGAGAAATCTATATGCAAGTCAAGAAGCAACAGTTAGAACTGGACATGGAACAATGGACTGGTTCAAAATTGGGAAAGGAGTACATCAAGTCTGTATATTGTCACCTTGCTTATTTAACTTATATACAGAGTACATCATGCGAAATGCTGGGCTGGATAACTCACAAGCTGGAGTCAGGATTGCCGGGAGAAATAGCAATAACCTTCAATATGCAGATGACATGTTATGGCAGAAAGTAAAGAGGAACTAAAGAGCCTCTTGAAGGGGAAAGAGGAGACTGATAAAGCTGGCTTAAAATTCAGTATTCAAAAAATTAAGATCACAGCATCTGGTCCCATCACGTCATGGCAAGTAGGAAAAAAGTGGAAACAGTGACAGATTTTATTTTCCTAGGCTCCAAAATCACTGTGGATGGTGACTGCAGCCATGAAATTAACAGATACTTGCTCCTTGAAAGAAAAGCTATGACAACCTAGACAGCATATTAAAAAGCAGAGACATCACTTTGCTGACAAAGGTCCATGTAGTCAAAGCTATGGTTTTTCCAGTAGTTGTGTATGGATGTGAGAGTTGGATTATATAGAAGGCTGAGTGCCAGTGACCTGCTGCTTTGAAATTGTGGTGCTGGAGAAGAGTGCCCTTGAAAAGCAACGATATATACATATACATACCCCTTCCTCTTGAGTCTCCCCCCACTCCCTCATCCCACCCCTCTACATTGTCACAGATTGCCAGGCTGGATTCTGTGTTATATAGCAGTTTCCCACTAGCTTTTAATAACTATTTCTCACATGATAGTGTATATATGCCAATACTGCTTTCTCAGTTCATCCAACCCTCTCCTTTCCCTGGTATGCCTACACATCTGTTCTCTATGTCCGCATCTCCATTCCTTCTCCGCAGATAGGTTTATCAGTACCAGTTTTCTAAATGCCACATATATGTGTTAATATATGGTATTTGTTTTTCTGACTTACTTCACTCTGGATGACAGGCTCTAGGTTTAGCCAACTCACTATAACTGAATTCTTCATTACAGTTCCTTTTATGACTGAGTAATATTTCATTGTTTTTATGTACTACTTCTTTATCCACTCTTTTGTCGTCGGACATCTAGGTTGCTTCCTTGTTCTGGCTATTGTAAATAGTGCTGCAGTGAGCCCTGGGGCACATGTGTTGAGAATTTGCTTTTCTAGTGAGTTGCCGGGTGATGCTGATACCTCTGGTCCTAAGGCCACACTGATAATCATTGATAATATCTAGACATTCAGAATATAAAAGAAGCAAAACTCAGGGAACACTGATGTCTTCCCCCACTTCCCTGTCGACTCCGTCTTCATACGGCCCACAGCAGCCATCCTAGGAGACCCCTTTAGCGTGGACTGGAGCGATGAGGGCCACCCAGAAGCTAGAGTCACCAGCAGACACCCACCAGCAGGGTGCACTCACCGCTGGTCCCAGAAACCTCATTGCTGCAGCCATTTGGTCACTGATTCCACAGATTCAGCAAGTGTCCTCTGCCCCAAGCACTGTGTCTGGAGCCTGTAGTATACAGGACAAGCAAGACTTTGCCTCCAAAGGAGAAAGAAGGAAACAAATAACACAATCATTTCTGGTGTTGATTTTGAGGGCTTTATGAAGCAGATTTAAAATGACCATGTTACGTGATTAACTTCAGAGCATGACTTAAATTGAGAAGTCAGGAAAGGGCTTTCCAAAGAGGTGACAGCTGAGCAACAGAAGGAATCAGGTGTTTGAAGGACTTGGGGGAGAGGGTAAGGAGCCGGCATGGGGCCAAAGCAGAGGCCCCTGGGACGACAGATAATGACGGTGCTTGCAGGCCTGGTCGGGGCTTGGGCCCCACTGCAGACGCACCGGTCTTTCTGCGCCACTGCCAGGCCCCTCTCTGGCCTCTGCTCACGCGGCATCTTTGCAGCCCCTGGGGAAACACCACTTCCTTTTGTGCAGTTCTGAAATGAGCTTGTTTGCCACTTAGCAGCTCTCTGATTTATGAACTTCCCAACTCTGCATCTTGGCAAGCCGTGTGATTGTACAGGATGCTCTTAATGAGGTGAAGAGGGGAGGGGACTCAGGGATACAGTCTGGTGACAGGGCCTCAGTCCCTGACGCACCCCAGGTCCCTCACGTGAAAATGCCAACCCCATCATTGACAATGGGCCCACACCCCCGTGGCCCTCCAGCCACAGCTCCGCCCCCCAGCAGAATCCCAAGTGTGCAGAGGCAAGTATGGTCCTGCCTCCACT